CCCCTCCTAGCCCCTCCCCGAGGCCAGCGGCCCACCGAAATGGGTCCCGGCCCGAGGCCCCGGCCCGGCGCGGGGCTGCGGGCGGGCTGGGCGGTGCGTCCGGCGACTCGCAAAGCAAAGCGGACGGTGAAGGGAGGGAGCTTGGGAGAGGGGGATGGGAGAAAGGAGGAAGAGGGAGAAGGAGGGAGCGCGGAGGAACGGAGGAGAGAGGGGCCAGAAAGGAGACGCGAGGGAGGGAGCGCGAGGCAAGCTGCGAGGGGGGAGAGAGGGGGATCCTGAGAGAGGGAGGGGCAGTGCGAGTTGGCCGAGATCGAGGCCGAGGGGGCCGGGGCGCGGGGAGGGGTTCGCCGTGGCGGAATGTGGGGAGCCTGCCGGCCTGATGCAGCAGTGGGCTGGGCAAGAGGGGCTGTAGGTTGTAAGGGCAGATATAGGGGAGGCTGGAGAAGTTTAGGGGGGCGACAGGGTTTGTGGCAGAAGTGAAGTGGGAGGAGTTTGAGAGGTATTGGGGGTAGAGACTGGGGTAAAAGGATTAGATGGAAAGAGATTGGAAAAATGGGCCTACAGGGGGGCATTGGGGATAATGAGGTGTGTGGAAATGAAAGGTGAGAGAAACTTGGGGTGACAGGGTCTGTGGCAGAAATGAAGCAGGAAGACGTTGGGGGCCTGTTACCAGAGAGAATGGAATGAAAGTTTGGGGTCATAAGAAGGAAAAAAAAAATGAAAAGATGGAGACAAATTTAGGAGACTAGAATTTCTGAAAGAGAATACAGTATAGGGGGGTGATTGGTGTTGAGAAAAGAATAGGGAATATAAGAATTTGGGGATGATAAAGGAAAGCTGGAGAAAAAAGCCCAGAGGAAATGTCAGTAGGAAGAGGGAAGGGAGAGCTTAAGGAGCCTTCAAAAGAGATAAAGAAGGCAGGGCCAGGTATGTATTCTAGGAGAGATGGGTTCTGGGTAGAAGAGGCTCACAGGGATGTCCAGATTCTATGGGTAAGAGAACTTGAAGGTTTGGGTTGGCAGGACAAGATAGATAGAATTGGGGGGAAGGGTTTAAAGAAAATTGCAAAGATAAACAAGGTCTTTGGTGACAAATATGGAGGGAGGGTCATTGATGGGGAAAGTGAGAATGGAGACTAAAAGGGAGAGCCTTTGAAGGAAATAATAGAGAAGAGGACATACTCAGGTATAGGTAAGGGATATCACTTGTAGGAGGAGTGGAAGACCACTCTCAGGCCCTTCTGTCTGGTGGCTTCTCCATTTCTACTCTCAAATCTCTTTGAAGTCACCACTGGTTGAAGACCCCCCCAGGTAAGGGGTCAAATGGGGATTAGGCTCAATATGGAGCCAAATCCTTAGGTGCCCTGGTTCCCTAACCCTAGTTATCCTAAGGTGAAGACAGTTACCACTACAGACCCCAAATCTCTTCTTAACAGTACCCTCCTCCTCCCTCCACTGCTTTCCAGGCAGTGTCTGACACCATCAGTCTGCCAGCCATTCCTGGTCTTCAGCCATGAAGCCAGCACCCCACCAGTCCACCACCAGCTGCCTTCTTCTGGGCTCCCTCCCTGAGCCCACACCTAGCAACTCCATCTCCCAGGACAAAGGACACCAAGACACAGGGTGATTTTTGGCAGCAGAGATTGGGAAGGCCAGAGAAAGGGAGGGAGGCAGACTGGGAAACAGGAAGAGCTGGAGCTGGAGTATGGATCAGGAGCCCTCAGCTCTCCAGATTGAAGGTAGGGATAGAGTATTTGTGGGGTTAGGCCAACCAGAGGCAAGGTTGGGCCCTGAACTGGCAGGATTCCCTGCCTTCTGAGAGGAAAAGACGTTGGCTCTAAAGCATCTCGGTAGATGTTGCTTCACATTTCCTTGGGCCATGTTCAGTCAACGTCCGTCTGGGAAGACTCAAAAGCTCTTGGTGGATTCTGAAGCATCGGGGGACAGGAACAAGGCTTCTTTGGCCTACGAATGAATCACTCTGAAGTCTCTAGAATTGGTTAGCACTCACTTATCACTCCATGCCCACTTTCCTCATCCCTCCTCAGCCTTCCTGAGAGCAGGCCAGCCCCTTTCTTCCTGTGATCCCAGACTCCTTTCCTCAATGTTCCAGGATACCCCCACTCTAACCCCACTCCTCCTGGCCCCCTCAGCTTCATTCCAAGACTACTCCTTCCCCCTCACACTCCTCCCTACCGCATTTCCTCTTTTTGCACTTCTCAGTTCAGTCTCCCACTGGGCCCTGGCCCAGGCCCTTCCCATCTCCCTTCTAGGCTGAGATGTCTCTTGTTCTTTAACCACTAAGAGGTTGGTGGGGATGGTGATAGATATATCTGAGGCCAAAAGAAAAAGTGACTTAGGTATAAAGTAGGAATGAAGGGGATGGGGAGGGTCAGAAGAGGAATTGGGGCCTACTCCCTCCAGTTCCTCTCCATGTGAGGACCAGGCTCACAATTCAGCTTCAGGGAGCATTACACATACACCTCACCATCCCTCACCCTAGCTCTCCTTTCTGGCCTCAGCCCCCCACAAGCCACTGGTCACCAGGCAACGGCACAAAGGGAAAGTGGAAAGAGGGGCCTGGGAGGCCTAGGCAGAGCTAGCTGTAACCCAATCCAATCCAGTACCTGGGGTGGGGGGTTGCTGTTACAGAAGGCAACAGAGCAAGGAGGGAGGAAAAAGGCCATTGGTTAGGAAATGTGGTTCAACGAGAACCAAAGTAATCCCGGTAAAACTGGGAGTTATACAGCAAAGATGGGAGTCATGGACATCCAAGAAAATGGAGGTTCAGAGAAAATATGGTGAGCAAGTATGGAACAAGAAAGCCTGCGCAAAACAGAGAAGACATAGGAGAAAGAGGAAAGATGAGATGCCCACACTGAACTTAAGAAGCACAGAGGAGGCGGCAAAACCTCTCTGGATTGAAAATGATTGAGGTGTCAGGGACCCAGGAGGAGAGGGAATAACTGGAATCCTGGAGCTGGGCAGGACAGCAGAAAGAACCCAGGACCAGAACTTAAAGAACAGAGTAGGAGGTCCATAGAAGATACAACCTTGAAATCCCTCTGGCCCCATCTCCAGCAGCGTCCAGCATGGTGTCCTGCAGAACCTCAGCTCCCTCTAGTGGCCACAGTTCCCCACAGGCAGCCTCTACCAGCTAGTTAATCCAAAAAACCACTCATGGCCATAGAGTTGGCTCCAACTCATAGTGATCCCTCCTTGGGTTTCTGAGGCAGGATCACTGTGGAAGTAGATTGCCCAACCTTCCTTCCAAGGAGTGGCTGGTGGGTTTAAACTGCCAGCCTCTGGTTAGCAGTCAGATGCCTTAGGCACTGTGCCACCAGAGCTCCCAGCTAGTTAACGTGCCTTCTCAATCCAAGACACTGGGCTGTCTGCCCCCTCTTCCTCCTCTAGATGGCCCCTAGGCTGAGCATCCAGTGGTGGGATCCACAGGAGCTGAAGAGTTGTAGGGGATTTCTAGCCACATATGGGACCCTATGCACAGTATGACCCAGCCAGAGGGCCTGTCTAGCACTGAATATTCCTGAATATTTCAGACTCAAGTTTCTTCAGGCCCTGCCCTACAGCCCCTGGTACTACTCTTCTCTTCCATTCCCCATCTTACATAGAGTGATGGTCACAGTCCTGCTCCATCCCAGAACTAGCCAGGATTTTGTTTGGGAGAGGATCAGTCATGGGAGCTGGTCCAGTCCACAGCTTTACCCCTCTGATACTTTTCAGGGTCTCCTGGACTCCAGGTTATACCATTTGCTGAGTCAGTTCCAACTCACAGTAACCCTGTGTGAGAGTAGAACTGTGCTTCATAGGGTTCTCTATAGGGTTCTCTGGCTGAATTTTTCAGAAGTAGATCACCAGGCCTTTCTTCCAAGGCACCTCTGGGTAGACTCAAACTTCCTACTTTTTGGTTAGCAGTTGAGCAAATTAACCATTTGTACCACACAGGGACTCCAGACCCCATGTTAAGAACCCCTACTGCATACTGGTCCTGGGGCCAGGCTTATGGTTGAAAAGGCAGGGGCAATTTGGGCCCCACCTGGCTAGGGTGGAGTAGTCTGTGCCATCACCTTGCCCATATGTATTCAAGTGTGTCTTCCAATCTTTATGCCCTCCCCAGCTCTGCTGTCCAGTTCATCCACTGACAGTTGCTCAATCTTCTCTCCCCTCAGACTAGAGTTAAGACTCTTCAGACATAATCATGCACTGTGATTCAAACTTTAATGGTGGTGCTCTCAATGCCACAGAGGTGGTGGCAACTGTGGAACATGGCATGGGGGAGTGAGGCATTGCTCTAGTACAGCTGGAGGAAGAACAGGGAACCTAGGGCTGGGGAAAATTGATAGGGGAATTTGTACCACACAGGGACTCCAGACCCATGAGTTCCCCAAGCACACAGCTTAACCTCTGGACCAACTCAGGCTTCGGCTAAGGGAGTGCTCACACAAAGGGACTGATAGCAAAGTTACTCTTCCCATTCCAGCAAGACCTCCCATCCCAGGTCATCTTGGGATCCACAGCCACATGAAATACAGACACATAGTCCCTTCAAATCAGACCAGTTTTAGGCCCTAGAAGTATGAGGAAATAATTAATAGGATGAATGGAAGATCAATCAATAAATAAATACATACATACATACACTGAAGCTTTAGACCAGGCATGACCTCAGCACTGTATACAGTTCATGGCTCATATGCAACATGGAAAACTCATGGAAAAAGTACAAAGCACAAGTGACATATGACCCCACTCTGAACATCTCAACATACCAACCCTGATGCTCCTGTCACAGACCCTGATCATTCTTCCATGAATCCCCTTGTAATCCTCATCCCCATTTCCAGGTTTTGAGGAAAAAGAGAATAGAAAGGAAGGGGAAGTGGTGAATATGGAAACCCAAAGAGTGCAGCCCAGAAAGGAGAAAGCAGAGACGGTGTGGGGTTGGGCAAGCCAAGGAGCAGTGGGGGCAGGTTCAGCAGGGAAGTTCTGGGCATCTTGGGGCTCAGGGTATTTCAGCAGGTGAAATATCACAGATCAAGACAGGAAGAAAGGGGCTCAAGGAGGATGGGAGAGAGGTTCCAAATCTTCAGGCAAGGAGGGGGATCACAGCACACTGGGATTGCGGAAATTATGTCCAGCGAAGCGCGCCTCATCCCCCAGCTCTTCTTCGATTCTGAGAAAGATGAGACAGAAAGGAAACAGTCAGAGAAGCAGGAGGATCCTGCTCCTCTCTCTACGAGTCCCTCCAGCCTCTAAAGCCCCTCACACCACCTACTCCTAAGTCCAAGGGTGAGCATTTCCAGGCTTGCCCATGTGACCTCTAGGACCAGTCAACTAGGCCATGAGCAACAAATATTTCCTCGATATCTATTGTTATCCAGGACTAGGGCAGTAGTGATGGAATGGTGGGCAAATAGAACTTGTAACCCCTGGGCCTATGGGCTCCATCCCCCAGGCTCCCTCACCTCATGAGCTGGTTGTATTTGGCCAGACGCTCAGAACGGCATGGGGCACCAGTCTTGATCTGAAACATCCCAAAAGATATGCAGCTCAGTGGCAGACCCTTCACTCCCTAAAAGGAAACTTACATCCCCTCGAAATTTCCCTGACCCCCTCCGACCACCTGAAAGGAGAGACCTACCTGAATTTAGAACTCACCAATCCCCCAAAAAGATCTCCCTTCCACTTACTGAACTGCCCTACTCACCTGGCCTGTGCACAATCCCACAACCAGGTCAGCGATGAATGTGTCCTCTGTCTCTCCTGAGCGATGACTCACCATGACCCCCCAGCCATTCTCCTGGGCCAGCTTGCACCTGCATACATACACCTGCACTGATCACCCCAGCCCCTTGCACTGACCGAGCGTGCTCTTCCCAAACCCAACTTTGGTCTATGTTAAGAACCATGTAGAGGGAAACTGGGAGAGAAGCAGATCAGGGATTGTTGTTGTTATGTGACGTCGAGTCAGACCTGACTCATAACGACCCCTCCTTGGGTTCCTGCGACCCCTCCTTGGGTTTCCAAGGTGGTATCACACTCCTCGGAAGGAAGGTTGGGCAATCCTACTTCCGTAGTGATACTGCCTCGGAAACCCAAGGAGGGGTCGCTATGAGTCGGGGCCGACTCGACGGCACATAACAACAACAACAACAACATCACTACGGAAGTAGATTGCCTCACCTTCCTTCTGAGGAGTGGCTGGTGGGTTTGAACCGCCAGCCTTCTGGTTAGCAGTCAAGTGCCTTAGGCACTATGCTACCAGAGCTCCTGAAAATCAGAGGTAGAGGGAGCAGAATTGAGAGAACTGTCATGGTGACTTTAGGTTCTCTGCTCTCTTCAGCATCCCAGGCAAGATTAGGGTGGGGGCACTTCCAAGAGCAGTCCCATGGACACGGGCTGAGTAGGAGTCACTCACGCCTGGATGGCTTCGGTGACTGAACCAATCTGGTTGACCTTGAGCAGCAGGCAGTTGCAGGCCTTTTCCTCTACTGCCCGCTCAATGCGCTTTGGGTTAGTCACTGTCAGGTCATCACCAACAATCTGGATTCCTACGTTGGCTGTGAACTTGGACCAGGCAGCCCAATCATCCTGGTCAAATGGATCTTCAATGGAGACCACTGTAGGAGGAGCAAAGAGGGGCTGTTGATCCTCCCTCAGTCTCTGTATCAGGCAGTAACACACACCCCCCACACACCCTGATGATTTCTGGAAATGTAGATCTCTTGACTAACTGAGCCTGCTCATCCTTGCCCCCAATGCCAAAGCAAGCCTGCCTGATTCTAAGCCTGATTCACATTTCATGAAATCTTCCAAGAACAAAGGTTCATAACCTTCCTCGCAACCTATTTTCACATTTCCCTATCCTGGCTACTAGGAAGCCTTTCTTCATTATTAATCTAAATTCTTCATTCTGCAATTTATGTCTTTTTTCCTCCTGGTCTGTCTCAAGAAGAGAGAAGACTAACCACCTCCATTCTGGGGTAAGAACCCTTGGTGGATGTGAAGAAGGTGACCCAGTCCATCCTAAACCTTCTTTTCTATTCACACATCAGTCTCCGATCCCTTCAGCATCACAATTTAATCAATCAAAGATACTGAAGTGTGCTAGTTACATGCCCTGCTTGGTCCAGTCACCCTCTCACCATCCTGGTTCCTTCCAGAGCCTTCTCCATGATCCTTGTAGCTTCAAAGCCCATGACATTAATCAAGACTCAAACCAGATGGAACAGATCCATCACAGATCCCTGCACATATCCATTACATACAAAGCCCAGTCTCTGCAGGAGGCTCCTTTACCCTGTCTGCAGTTCTCAGGTTCTTCTTAGGACACCTCCACCTAGTGCTTGAGTCAACAGCCCTGGCCATCCCCCGCCCTCTCTCCCACACCCCCTGCCCTCACCAGGATAGTCCCTGACAAAGTCCTGGTAGAGGGCCCCCAGCTGGTCCCCAGTGATGTATCGTGAAGAATCAGGGGGAGACTTGAAGTCCAAGTCATATTTGCCATCACGATAAAACTCAGAGGCAGCGACATCCATGCCAATGACGATCTTTTCCGTGTAGCCAGCCTTGTCAATGGCTTCCTTTACCAGCTCCAAGGCTAGGGGTAGAATACAGTGAGATGATAAGCAGGGTGGTTGGGCAAGGAATGGTGGAGGGAAAGAAAACATAGAGCAAAGGAGACAGAGCAGGTGGGGAGAGTCTGGCTATCTGCTAGCAAGGCAAAGGAAAGGAATTCTGTTAATAATGGTTTGGTTTGGATTTAAATATCTAGCAAGTTTACATATATATCTCCTTTAATCTGCAGAATGAGGCTTTGTGATTGTTAGCTGCCATAAAGTAAGCCCTGGTTCATGGCAGCCCTGTGCACAACAGGACAAAACACTAAGTATCCAGTTCTGTGCCATCCCCATGATGGGTTGTGGAGTGGACTGTTGTGATCCACAAGGTTTCCACTGCCTGATTTTTGGAAGTAGATTACCAGGCCTTTCTTCCTAGTCTTGTTCCAGAAGCTCTGCTGAAACCTGTTCAGTATCATAGCAACATGTAAGCCTCCATTGAGACAGGTGATAGCTGTGCAAGAGGTGCACTGGCCAGGAATCAAACCAGGATCTTCTACATGGAAGGTGAGAATTTGACTAGTGAACCACCACTGCCTTCAACAACAACAACAACAACAACAAAAAACCTAACTCACTGCTATCAAGTCAAATCTGACTCATAGGAATCCTATAGGACAGAGTAGAACTGCTCCATAAGGTTTCCAATGCTATACATCTTTATGGAAGCAGATTGCCTCATCTTTCTCCTGCAGAGTGGCTGGTGGGTTCAAACTACCAACCTTTTGGTTAGCAGCCAAAAACCTTAACCACTGTGCCACCAGAGCTCCTTTTCTACTGCCCCCTGGAAACAGGCATGAAGCACAGAGAAGTAAGTAAAATCATCAGCCAGTAACTCTTCAAACCAAGATTCAAATCTAGGCAATTTGGCCCCAGAATATTAACTCTTAACCACTATCTATACTGTTTCTAGTCATTAAAAGTTTTTCCTGAGTCACAGAAAAACTAGGGAACTTGAGGTGTAAGAGGTTGTGTGGGGATGGGGAGAGATTTAGAATGGATTCTCTGGAGTTGGCTATATCTCATCAAACTAAGAACACTATGGAGTTAAAGCATGGAATAGATCCCACATGTCACCTAGACCACCTCCCAGCATTCCCAGGGGCTCCACTGAGAACTTACAGATGCTAACAGATCTGGCTGGACAAGCAAAAGACTGTCCTTCTAATACTGCATGTGAATTTAGCAGGCCTCCTGGTACCTACTCCAGGGGCTAGAACCTCTTAGAATTTACAGTTCTGGATCCCAGGAGCACAAAGACATCCACCATTACTACTATTCAAACTTGGTGAAGGGTGTGGCTCTTCCTAATGTCCCAGGATAAAGTAGGACTTAGAGCTGGGAGTAGGACTCCTGGCCTCACCTTCACTGTTCTCCAGGATATTGGGGGCAAAGCCACCTTCATCCCCCACATTGGTGGCATCCTTGCCATACTTGTCCTTGATGACCCCCTTGAGTGTGTGGTAGACCTCTGCCCCGAGTCGCATGGCATCCCGAAAGCTCTCAGCACCCACTGGAAGGATCATGAACTCCTGCATGGCCAGCTTGTTCCCAGCATGAGAGCCCCCGTTGATCACATTGAAAGCCTAGGGAGTCACAGGAGGACAGAGTCAAAGAACCCTTCCCTCTCAACCCTGGGAGTGTTAACGCAAGATCCCACAGCCATTCCACCCCAAAATTTGCCCCAGCTTCTCAAACTCAGAGTCTCATGCTCTATCCTTTCTCTTTGGGCACCCCAATTTACTTTCCTTCCATCATTCCCCACATAGTTTCCCACTCATTTTCCCACCCACCCCTAGGATAGGTAAAAACTTGGCGCTCACCGGCACAGGCAGGATGAGGTCTGAGTTCCCGGCCAGCTGAGCAATATGGCGATACAGGGGCAATTCCCGCTCAGCCGCCCCAGCCTTACACACAGCCAGGGACACACCCAGGATGGCATTGGCCCCAAACTTGGCTGGGAGATTTAAGAGGAGGGCACTGAACAAAAAAGGTCCCTTTCTCCTTCCAGCCCTTGCCTCTACCCATGATCCCCAAAAGGAGCTAATGAAGACCCATCTCTCCCTCCCGACCCCTGCAACAGGGCCTTCCAGAGATCTGTGCATCTCATTCATTCCCCCCTGCAAAAAGCAGAGGAGAAGGAGGTGGTGGTGTGAAAGGACAGGGAGACAACCTATTTTTAAATATCCCCAAGAAGAGACCACAAACTACCTCACACTAGCTCCTTCTTTATACTTAAAGTTCTTCCTTCTATCTAATAATCACTATTGACCCTTGCAGTTAAACTCATCTTCTCTTGCTCTGGCTTTGGGAGGAGAATGGAAAGAGGGCTAGTCCTCTGATAGCCCTTCTTGAGGGAGTCCCTGCAGTGCTGGCCCTCCAGTTTTGTTTGTTCTTCATATGCTCACCCTGTGCCTACCTACTTTCTTCCAGCCCCTGCTTACATTTGTTCTCAGTTCCATCCAACTCCAGCATCAGGTTGTCCAGTTTCTCTTGTTCCACCACAGATAGGCCCTGTAGGCACAGTCCCCATCACTCAGAGGCCCAGGCAGGGGCCCCCCATTTTCACATAGGCTCATATCTAGCCAGGGTCCAACCAAATCCCTGTGACAGGGCCTATCTGGGTTAGAGGACCTGAATCCCTCTTGGGAGCAGGGAACAGCAAAGGAACTCCTCCCTATCCTTCCCCTTATAGCCATGGTTTCCAAGAGGTGGACCTTTTCCCTCCCCTTCCTCCCTCTTTCACCCAGGATTCCTTCCTGGCCCTAAATCCCACCATCCCTAACAGAGCAAGCCTCACTGAGCTGATGAGGGCTGGAGCGATGGTGGTATTGATGTGGTCCACTGCCTTCAGGACACCTGAGGAAAGGCAGAGAGGTGAGGATGGGTCAGGCTAGGAGGGGCCAGAAGGGAGAAGGAGAGGAGAGGGGAGGGCATGCTAGAAGAGGACTGTGGACTGGTATGAGGACTGAAAGGTGGGAGGGCCACCAAAGAGAAAGCGCCTCACCTTTGCCTAAGTAACGTTGTTTGTCACCATCCCTGAGCTCCAGAGCCTCATAGATTCCAGTAGAGGCTCCACTGGGCACTGCAGCCCGGAAAAGACCTGGGAGAGGAACATGGAATGAGGAGGAAAGGAAGAGAAGGACCCTACTGAGCCAGGGCCTACTTCTGCCTTCAAGCCCTAAACTCCTGCCTGCCACGTCCACCACTCTCTCCACAATCTTCCCTAACACACACACACATACACACACAGCCTAATGCACAAGCAGTGGCCTCTTTATCTGCCCATCTGATGCCCCACACGCACAAGTGGGAACCCATGGAAACGAAGCTGTGCCAGCCAGGTAGCACACATGTGCACACGCAAAGTGTACATGAAGACACTCAGAAGGGATGTTTCACGCTAGAACACAGAGACCTGCCTATTCTGCCTCCCTTGCACAGGGATCCACCCCTCACAACCCAGGCTGTGAGCTTGGTCCAGCACCCCATCCCCACTGGTTAGTAATGAAAGCCTCCTACCCTAGGCCACTGCAGACCCAGCATGGGGGTGAAGAAGTCCGAGCTGTAGGAAGGCCCATGCCCCACCCATTACCTTTGTTAGTGTAGAGATCCACCTCTACCGTGGGATTGCCACGGGAGTCCAGGATCTCCCGGGCCCAGATCTTTTCTATAGACATGATGCCTGCGAGCTCCTTGGGTGGAAGGGGTGGAAGGAGAAAGAAACGAGGCTTAGAGGGGTGGAGCCTGAAATCAGTGGGAGGGGCCAGAGGCTGGGAGGGATGGGAAAGAGGTTACTGCAGTGGGTGGGGGGTTGGGAAAAGCTGGCTGCAGTCTTTGGCTAAAGAAGGGATCTCCCTCCCCTCCCTCTTCCCCGGGGCGGGGAGAAGGTCAATGCAGTGAGGAGGGGGAGGTCACTGAAGTGAAGGACAGGGTAAAATCAAAAGATGAGAGGAGGTAACTCCGCAGTGAGGCGGGGAGGGACACTGGATCCCTCGCCCCTCTCCGCAGCGTTAGGAATTGGCTGCTGGGGTTCCCCCAGATCTTCTCAGAATGGAATGGCTGCCAGGCCAGGCTGGCATTTCTCCGTGGAGCCAGAAAGAGGAGGGGCTGCCTGGCCAGCCCGGCCTCTTTCCTCCTCCTGTGAATGAGAGCCCCCTCATTCCACCTTCACTTAACGCCCCAGCCTGCCCAGGCTCGGCCCACACTCCAAGATTCCAATCTCACTCCCAAACGTATGTCCATCCTCTTCCCGAGAGAAGTCTGGCGAGAGAGCCCTGGGAAGGCCCTCCAGTCTCTGGGGATGCAGCGGGAAGAGCGGAGAATGCGGGACCCGGTGGAAAAGTCAAGGCTGGGCCCATCTTCTCCCCAGTCCCCAGACAACCGCCCCCCCCCCCATCCCGCCTGCGTGCAGCTAGAAGAACGAAGAGCAAGGAGAGAGGGGTAACTTGGGGTAGGAGAGCGAGAGTCTAGAAGTCTGAGGAACAGAGAAAGGGTGCGGGAAGACATTCCACCAAATAAAAAGCCATGGGGACGTGCCAGAATGAAAATGCACAACACCGAACTTAAACAAATCGACAAAACCGGGGTGAATGTGACATGGGAAAATAAGCAGGCAAGGGTTAAGAAAGGCGCAGTTAGAGAGAAACAGGTGTAGAAAGGACTGGCACCTAAGTGAGGAGGGAGCGACAGACAGAAAACCGTGAAGATGGGTCCGGGAAGGCTGGTGAAGTAGGCTGCCAAGCGAGCCGCGTCGACCCAGCAGGTGCGCAGCGCGCGGCCCAGAGAATCGCAAAGGCGAGGAGCGGGGGCGGAAGGAGCGGCAGTGAGGGGAGGGACCCGGGGGGCGCAGGCCGGCCAGGGCTTCACCTCGGGGCTGCAGACTCTGCCAGTGGCGACGACGACAGTAGCGGCGGCGCAGAGAGAACAGGAGTGGCGGCGGCTGCGGCTCCCGGGCGGGGGGGGGGCGGGGGGGAGGCGCCGATAGGGCCGGGCGAGTGCATGTGACCCAGAGCCCCCGATGAGTCAGGAGCCGCCATCGGAGGCGCACGTAGGTGCGCGGGTGGGGGACGGATAAGGGTCTGGGGAGGGTTTTCGGAAAGGGATAGGGAGGGGGCTGGGAGTAACCTTGGACCTGGCCCCCCACGCCCGCGCGCTTGCTTATACCCACACTCCGACCTACACAAAGTAACAGGCATCATCTCACCCCAGTAATCCTGAAACTGAACCTTACACTGCCAGTGAAGCCCAAGACAGACTCAGTGTTTCACAAACCAGATCAGACACAAGAGTATCAGAATGTCTCTTTATTCCAAAACTGAACTGTTGCTAAACATTCCAGAGCACTTCCATCTCCATAGTTCTCTTCACCAACCCTACAAGCATCCAGTGGGCCCATGCAGTCAATCGGGGCCTGACTCCCACTCAGACCAAAGTGAGGGCTGTCTCCTGCCTGAGGATGAGTGTGCAGCTCAGGCCCACCAGCACCCCACCTTGTCCAGGTTCCCAGCACAGAGCTAGGGCGGCAGGCTGTTATGAATTCCCAGATCAGAAACAAAAGCAGGTATCCTCAGTACCTGATGAGGGGTGTAAAAGTGGTGGCCCCCACTGGTAATCCTGCTGGGTCTTGGGGCCAGTGCATTTATCTCCTGGAGGAAGAGGACAGAAGTAAAGCCTCTGGGCCCTACTGCCTCCCAATGTCTGTCTCTGACCCCATCTAAATGCCCAGCTGCCACACCTCTTTGGGCTCATCTCAGTTTTTCTGCCTCACTCTGCCCTCCTTTCTTCTCCATCCCTACCTGGTGTCTTGTCAGTTATTTTCAGCTTCAGACTTTTAGCACAGGATCTTCCTCTCCTGCCATCTCTCCTAGGCACAGCTGTGTTCATACACCATCACCAACCTACTTGTGCATTGGCCTGGATCTGTCTTGTCTTAACTGATCTTTATGTAAGGTGTGACGGTCCACCACCACCCCCAACTCCTCTTCTGCTACCCCAGTTCTTTTCACTTATTTTTACAGCCTCCTGATGTGACTCCTAAGCCTTTTGTCAGCTCCTTCTAGGCCCTTCAGGTCCTTTCTCCTCAACTGAGGTGCCCCTGACTCCTAACGCTGGTCTCTCCAAAAGTTCTCCTTGCATTATCCTTTCCCTTGCTGTTCCTTACCCACCTCCTTCCTGCAGCAACTTCTCTTCCCCTACATCTAGCCACCCTTGGCCTCTTCTTCCTGCCTTTCTCCCGGCTTCTTTACCATCTTCAAAGGCTAGAACTGCTTTTAGTTTGTTGACTGGTCCAGGTCCTCCTCATGGTCAGGCTCAGCCTCATGCTCCTGGTCCTCCTTCATCCTCTGACGGATTTCCTCAGCCTCAGCCCGTTCCTCCTCCTCATAGAAGTCCTTGTCCAACCGTTCAAGATGCGCCATCTGCACCAGAGCCTCCTGGCGGTAATCGCTCTCATCTGTGCACGGATTTTCCAGCAGCACCAGGGCCCGCAGTTTGGGCAGGTCCCGAAGCTTGCTCAGTTCCCCCAGGTCAGTCACCATATTGCCCCTGCCATGGGGTCAGGAGAGGTTCACTCAGGAATAATGGGCTTTAGGGGGCAACATGCCAGGAATGAGACCTCTAGGGGACTTTCCCACTGGGCTCCTGTTTGCCTAGAAACACTACCCCTGTGGATTGGCCTGCCAAGCTTTGCAAGGTTTGCTAGAAAGATGCCAACCAACCCCACCTCCACCTGCTTCCACCTTTCATGGAATCCCTAAGTGCTAAATTATATCCTGTAATGTACTGCCTTTATCCGCTTGAGTAGCAAAGCTAGGCCACAACTGTGTCCTATAGCTGCAGAGGAAGGAGGAAATCTCCCTGGAAGGGGCTGACTTTCTGTGTCAATAACACTTAATCAGAGGTTTGAAGGTAGGAACAGGCCAGTGAAGAAGTAACTGGGATCTAAGCATGGGCTCAGTGTGGTAGGTGCTATGTTGGGCCTGCTTATAGGAAGGAACTTAGAGAAAGGGATGGTTTGGGGCCTCTTAGCATAAAGAACAAGCTTCATCTCCTAGTGTGCCTCATTATATAAGTCTGTGTTTATTTTCATGTTCTTGTCATGGAGTCTTCATGAAATCATGTCTTTAAATGTTCGAACCTCATCCCAATGGGGTACTGAACATCACACAATGTTTCTTACTAAGAGTGCTACAGGCATTTTGTTTTGGACTGTCTTGTGCATTGCAGGATGTTTAGCATCTCTGGCCCCAGGGTCACCTCCCAGTCACTGAGACAATCCAAAACACACACACACACACACACACACACACACTTCCAAACATTCCCAGTTAGCAGTCATTGAGGAAGGGTCCAGTTATCCCTGCCTAGATGGTTAACAAATGAACACCACCAGACCAATATAACCGAGCTAATTAGGAGATTGTCCCCAGGGTTAGGAGTAGGAGTTGGGGCTCCAAGGAGCAACTACCTCTCCACTTGGAGATTCTCTTTCCATTGCCAACCTTGAGGATTTGGACTTTGTTCACTAAGGAAGGAGGCAGTTTCCTAACATCTTTGCTTAAAGAAACACATATAATATCCTCATCAGAGAAGAGTTGCTTTCTACCTAGAGACTTTCTTTTAAATACTCTTCTCTCCTCAAATATGAGTGCATCTTAAGTTTAATATCAGTAAAGGGGCCATCCCTTACAAGTGGGACTCAGGGGAAGAGAGGTAGGAATGGATAGGGGAATTGAAGCCTAGGAGATGGAAAGGACAAAAGTAACTCCTATGAGGGTGGTGGTTATTAGGTGACTTCAAGTTGATTTTCAAATCCTACAGCCCCATGTTGACAGAGTAGCACTGCCCCATTGGGCTTCCTAGGCTGTAATATTTACAGAAGCAGATCTCGAGGTCTTTCTCTCACGGTGCCTCTGGGTGGATTTGAACTGCCAAGCACTTAACCATTGCAGGCAGAGCTAGGAAAAGAGAATTGGAGCCAGACTACAAGCCCTTAAGGACAGGGACTGTCTTTGATTCCTTTAGATATTCCCAAAACATAGCACAAAGCCTTGCACATAGCACATTCTCAATAATTGTGGATCGAATGATAAGGATTCAGGGGTCCCAGATTATAATGGTCTTAGTTTGACAATTAGGACTGAATGCAGAAGCAAGGAAGGGAGGAGTGAGGGTCAGAATAGAGGATGAAGGGAAGATCTGGGAGGATCTGGGAGTGGCAAATTTGGGAGATCAGGGCCAGAGAGGAACTGAGGGTAAAAAGCTACTCCTGGTCAGAGGCAGGAGCAAGGTGGGGCTTAAAGCTACTCCTGGTCAGAGGTAGGAGCAAGGTGGGGCTTTGAGGGGGTGCGTACCTCAGGTTGAGGTACTGCAGTGATTTCATTTCCCGGGAAAAGCCACTCAGGGTTTCAATCTGGTTATCTCGAAGATGCAAGGTGGTGAGATTGCTTAGGTTCTCCAGGCCTTCCACTCTCTTCAGCATGTTCTGGGCCTAGACTCCAAGACACAATAGATTAGGGGAGCAGGGGTAGGGAAGGAAGCAAGTCAGAAAGAAGTGAAGCACAAGAGCAAATTCAAGAGGTAGAGAGGGAGGGGTGGAAGAGGGGAGTGGAGGGGGTTAGAGATCTGTGAAGAGTAAAGCAGCCCAGGAAAAGCTGCTAGCCACAGAAAGGCTAGTAGTAATCCCTTGCTACGCACACTACCAAAGCCACCTCTGATTTGGAGGAGAGGCTTCAATCCACCCTAGGCCCAGCACCCCCCCACTTCTCTGCTGAGGAGAAGTCATCTTGGAATGAAGATGCTCAAGAGTCTAAAAGGCTAAACATTTAAGTGGTCCCCTTGGCCTGATGCCTGTACTTCAGTTATGGCACATTATGCTGCTACTTGTATCAAAACAAATTATTTCTGTATTATCCACGTATTATGTATCATCATCTATGCTAGGTGGGAAGCACCTTATCTGTTCTAACTTTGTATCTCCACAGAATCTGGCACAAAGTAAGGGCTCAATAAATAATATGAGTTACCATTATGATAATGAAGTTCGTGGCTGAGCCTACTAGAAACCAGACATCCTGCCCCCCCCCCCATCACAGTGCCCTCTACCCTAATCTACCCTCTGACCCTGTGAGCTACCAGGAAGAGATTCTTCAGCTTGGGGAGGTTGATCCCCAGGGTGCTGTCCAGCTGGTTCCGCCGAAGCTCCAGTGTGTGCAGGCTGTTCAGCTTTTGGGGATCCAGACCTGTCACCATACGGATGCGGTTCCCTGGGGAGGAAGAGGGTCAAGAGTTCAATGGGCCACTTCAGGTGTCCAGCATTAGACCCTGATTTTCTGGGAGCCTCTGAATCATCCTCTCCTTCTAATGCTGGGTGGACAGTGAAGAGGGGCAGCTCCAGACATAACAGCTGGGGGCCCTGGAGCAAGTGGCCTGGTAGTCCAAGGGCCTAAGGGACATGTCTGCCTCAGCCTTTGAGGAGTGAATGAAGAGTGCCCAGCAATCCACATTGCTAACTTCCTCTCCTCCAAGTCTTTGTTCAAATGCCATCATCTCCATGCTGCCTGTCCTAATTAACCTGTTTGAAATTGTCACCTGTGTCCCCATCCCCTTATCTTCTTTTAACATACTGTTTTAATTTATTTCCTATGTTCATTGCTAATTGTTTCCCTCAACTAAACTAGAATGTAAGCTACATGAGGACAGAAATGTTCTTTCTTTTTTTGGGGGGGAAGAGGTTAACTTTGATTTTTTTGTTCATTGCTTTGTCTCCAGCTCACAAAACTCATAAAGAATGTTATAATAAGTGTCTGAACAAATGCAGATTGCTGCATGGCACAGCCAAGGACCACACTGCCTACATGTCTTGCCCCAGGTTAGGAAGGGAAGAATCTTGTGCACAGCTGTAATTAAGGACTCACCTTTGAGATCCAGGCTACCCAGACGAGGATGAGAGATGCCCTCAGTGTCAGTGATCTGGTTATAAGCAAAACTGGCAATCTGTAGGTAGGGCAGTTCATCAAGCCGGGCACTCCGCAGCCGGTTGCCATCAGCCTTGAGCCAGAGCAAGTGGGTGAGGTAATTGAGTGGGGACAAGTCTGTCAGGTGGTTCTCAGAAACATCCACATAGCGCAGATGGACATAGGAACGCAGCAAGTAGATGTCTGTCAGATCCCTAGAGGGTGGCAGAGGATTAGGGCTAAATCCAGCAAGGAAAAGTCTATATGGAGATGACTTATAACGGGGAGAATGGAAACAGATGGGAGGAGTGAGGCCAGGGAAGAGACGGTAGTTATGTTCTTAACAGTGAGGGACCAGGAATCAGAGAAAGGCAGAGAATGCACACTCTGAAGGACTAATGAGGGGATCCAGAAGGAATCTTCCTACATATTCTCAGTCTCCAATTCCCCAGACAAGCTCTGATGTAGGGAGTTTCAGAGCTCCTGAAAAATAAATTATCTTCTTCCTTCACCACTGGACCAGGATGAGAGAGATCCAAACTCTCAACCAAAAAAATAAAAATAAAAAGGAATGAGGGTGGGAAAGGATTTGGAGCCCTACAATTCTCACAATCTTCAGCTGGCCCCCACAAACCCACCTGTCTTTGACCTCCAACTTGACATAAGCATGAGCCAGTCCATTGCCAGTCTTACAGAGCAAAGAAAGCCCTTCCTTCATCAAGTCCTCTGTGAGGGAGTTGGGCATCCACTGCAGGAGACAGTGGAGTCAGGAATCTCTTTCCCACCCAATGCCCTCCTTCACCCTAGGACCCTTCCCTTTCCAAGCTCTCACATCCTCAGATAAGTCTTCCCCCTCTTTCCTGTAGTCCTCTCCCTCCTCTGTCTCCTTTTCGTCATCTTCTTTTTCAAAGTCATCCTGGTCTGCCTCAAAATCCTCCAGGTCATCTTCATCTGACATCTTTCTTCCTGGCTGAAGGCTCTGGAGTCAGACGAAGTTCAGTTCTTGTTCTGAGAAAGAAGGGCTCCTCAGCTTCTGCCAGCACTCAGCTCCCTCGCCCCCAGTGGCCAGCTCCTATCTCACCAACCCATCAGCTCTGACCTCCTCCTAACTAGGCTTCTGTTCTCATCCCTGTGATGTCTAGTTTGAGTTTTGACTCCCAACTTCCACTTCAATCTTCCCACTAAGGATCCTTCTCCCTTAAGGATGCCATCTCCAAGACTTTTCCTCCCATTCACAGTGGCTCTAAACCTCCACCAGCAGCCCAATCTCCCCACTTCCTGGATTCTCCTGTCCCCAGTTCTCCCCACCTCCCCCTTAAATCATGTTCTCCTCTAATCTCCCCACTACTGATCTAGCCTCCTTCACCCTCCTCTCCCCTCTCCCAATCCTATCCCCTGCCCGACTCATTTCTTCTAACTCTCCTTCGGCTCCTTTATTAAATATCACTTGCAAAGGCATCTCACACAATGCCTGGCACAAACTCGCCATAGATGTTTGTTACATCTCAACCTATCTCTTTTTCATCACCTTCAATAAGTCACACATTTTCCTGACCCCTCCAGGCCGCCGGCCTGACGCGCCATCTCCAACCCTCCCACCCAATCCTCCTTCGCAAAGGGCCGCAGACCCTTGTCCTGCTCAACTAGAAGCGGTTCTAGAGAAAGGCAAGTGGGAAGGAGGGGTTGTGTACTGCTCTATAGCAACGGGTGCGGAGGCGGGGCACTTGGCTGCGGCAGCTGGCAGCCGCTGAGCCGAGAGCCTCAACTAACTGAAAGGAAAATCCGCCCCGGGGGGGTGGTAAAGTAGTTGCCTGGTTACGAGGCCAATTTCCCAATCCCAGGAACCCGGATGAGGCGCGGAATGGCATCAGGACGTTAATTGGCCCAGGGCAAAGAACAGTGGGCAGGGCTTAGAACCGGGCCCAGGGGAGGAGCTGGAGGTGGGGCTAGGTATTATGTCAGCCTAGACTTTAAAGGAACCTGACATTCTCAGTGCAAAAATATTTTGAGTTTGGAAGAAATTCATCCCCTGAAGCAAAAGGGGCGGGTGTAGGAGAGGAGCAAGAAATATTAAGGTAAGTGGTGTTCCTGGCCTATAGGTCCCTGTCTTTTAGTTAGACCTTTGGAAGGTGGCTTTGTGGAGTGGGAGGAGCCCAGGCCTAGGTGTATTAAGATCTGGGATGGAGTCTTTTGCATATCTGAAGTTTACTAGTAATTTCCCTAAGAGTTCACTTTCTTCATCTGTAAAATAGACTTAATGTACAACTGACAGGGCTCGAATATTAGTCTAATGCGTGCTTATGCACTCTGTAATATTAGTCTAACGTGTGCTTAAGCACTCTGTAGTCTGCATTTCACTCCTCTGCATAGTTGATACAAACCTTTTGGGGAATAGGAAGGGAGAAAATTCAACATCTGCCCATGAAAATACTCCTTAACCAATGTTGTAATATGAATAATCAGTCAACAAGAACTGATACTGATGGCCTGTGTGACTTATTGAAGGAGATGAAAAAGAGATAGGTTGAGATGCAACAAACATCTATGGAGCGTCTGTGCCAGGCATTGTGGGAGATGCCTTTACAAGTGATATTTAATCTCCACAACAGTCCTGTGAGATAGACATTTTAAAAAAATTATTGTGATTTGGGTGAAAGTTTACAGAGCAAATTCATTTTCCATACAGTAGTTCACATACACTTTGGCTCATGACATTGACTGCAGTTTCCCACAATGCAACAGCTCTCTTCCCACTTCCTCCTTGTAGTTACCTCTTCCCTGTGTCCTTTCCTTTGCATTCCTGCCCCAGCCCCTAGCTGAGATAGACATTTTAAAGAGGAGGAAACTGGAGCTCAGGGAGGTTAACATTTAGGACACAATTCCTGCCTAAGGGACAGGGAATATTACCAATCTTGCCATGGAATCAGATATAAATAAAACAATTAGATAACAAGGTAAGATACAATGTGATTAATTGTTAAATTGTGTGTTACAGACTTTATATAACATACCAAATGGTCTGGTGGAAGATGTGGTGGGCTGGAAATCAAGAACTATTACCTCCTGCCCTGTCCAGTTTGGGAATATAGTTCATAGACAAATATATTCACATGTTGTCATGGAAAGAGCCCGGGCTTTAGAGTTAGAGGAATCAGGTTAAAAACTTATCTCTACCACTAAATAGCTGTGAGTTCTTCAACAGGTGACATAATTGTACTGAAGTTTTATTTTCACGTCTATGATATGGGAATAATAACACCCACCTCCAAGGCTTGTTGGAGGATTAAAAGAGATACTATGAGTAAATTGCCTTGCACTTAGTAGACCCTCAGTAAACATTTCCCTACTCCTCCCATCCCTTGCCTTGGTTTCCTCATTACTGGGGTTGTTGTGAGGAAAAAGAAAGTAAATATGAAAGCACTCTGAAGAGTTAGCAGTGCTATTCAAATAAAAGTTGTATTATTGGAGTGCAGAGAAGGGAAAAAAATCCTTGTATTTGATACAGTCAAAGGGAAGGGATGTGATTTTCCTTGGCCCAGAAGAAAGGGGAATATACATCTTGTGGGAGGAAAAGGTGTGGTGTAGGGATTGTTATTATAAACTGCCATGGAGTTGGCCCCAGACTCATGGGAACCCTATGTGTGACAGATTAGAACAGTCCCACAGTGTTTCCTAGGCAGTAAACTTTTCTTTTTTCTTTTTCAGATTGTGATTTGGGTGAAATTTTACAGAGCAAATTGGTTTTCCATTAACAATTCATACACGTTTTGTGACATTCTCTGCAATCCCCACAACGTAACAGCACTCTTCTTGCTTCTTCCCTTACTTATCATTTCCCTCCGTTCTTCTTTCTTACCCCTTCCTGCTTTCTGAATTTTGTCCCTGGGCAAATGTCACCCTTTTGATCTCCTGTGGTCAAGTGTGTACCTCCCTCGTGGTGTTGTTCACCTTAGAGGCCTGCATATTGGTTGGCTGAAAGTTGGGCCACGGGGAATTGTAATCTTCATGGAACCAGATCACCAGGCCTTTTCTTCTACAGAGTCACTGGGTAGCTTGCACCATCTGGGCTTCTGGCATAGGGATTATAGAGATATGATTTAATACACTTTTTGCTAAGCACTGACTGGGCGCCATGTTCTAAGTGCTGGGTGCTCAAGGACAATAAAACACAGTCCTCATCTTTAAGGCATTCATGGTTCAGTGCTAAAGACCTAGGTTAATTCCAGCTCAGTGTGCTTCATGTGTAGCTCCCACTTGTCCCTCATTGGAAGCTCGAATGTTGCTATGATGCTGAACAGGTTTTAGTGGAGCTTCTAAGCCAGGATAGACTAGGAAGATAGGTTGGTGATCTGCTTCCACAACTGATCATGGCAATGGAGCAGGACTGTGTAGCATTTTGTTCTATAGTGTGTGGAGTCACCATGAGTCGAGGTCAACTCAACAGCAGCGGCTAACAGCAGCAATGTCTTCCGGGGACTTTCAACTGAATGAGAGGGTTAAGTAAATAAGTAATTTAATAGAATGAGACAGATGTTATAATAAAAATACCCATCACTTACTGACATTTTACTAAATGCCAGGGGATAATTTCATTATATATATAAACACACACACACACACACATAGTATCATGTTGTTGTTGTTGTTATGTGCCGTCGAGTCGACCCCGACTCATAGCGACCCCTCCTTGGGTTTCCGAGGCAGTATCACTACGGAAGTAGGATTGCCCAACCTTCCTTCCGAGGAGTGGCTGGTGGGTTTGAACCGCCAGCCGTCTGGTTAGCAGGCAAGTGTCTTAGCCACTATGCTACCAGAGCTCCTACATAGTATCATAGTATTGTATATTCAGGGCAGAGATTCCAGACAGGCACCTGTGGTAAGGCCTGAAGGAGAAAGAGCTCACTGCCTGGTCAAGGAGAGTAGGTGGTTCTGCCAGCTGGAACAGTAGGTACAAGAGGGTGGCAGGTAGGAGGGTGAGGCAGGAGTAGTAAATGAGGCTGGATCACACTAAGTAATGCACTTTGTCCTGCTGAATGATGTGAACCATTGAAGTTTTGAATTTCTGTTTAAATGGCAAGGACCAAATATACACTGTGTAATGAGAACTACTTACTAACATCACCCTTGGTGATAGCCTTCCCCCAGTGGCTGGTCCAGACAGAATCTCCTTCAGTTACTAAATTACTCTATAATTAAAATAAAAGTTCCAATAATAGAGTAATGTATATAGAGGAACATAAAAGTCCATGATCTCTTTCAACACCCCTCTCATTTATGAATAAAATGGTATTAATCATATATGCTGTTCATCAAATGGATATTTTTATATACTAGTATGTGTTAAGGAGCTCTGGTGGCATGGTGCCTAAGGCATTTGACTGCTAACCAGAAGGCTGGTAGTTCAAACCCACCAGCCACTCTATGGAAGGAAGAGTGAGCAACCTACTTCTGTAGAGATATCGCCTTGGAAACCTAAGGAGGTGTTGCTATGAGTGGGAATCGACTGGATGGCAGTGAGTTTGTTTTTCTTTTTTTTTCTTCCGGTTACTAATGTATTGGATGGGAGCTCTGGTAGCGTAGTGCCTAAGGCACTTGACTGCTAACCAGAAGGCTGGTGGTTCAAACCCACCAGCCACTCCTCAGAAGGAAGATGGGGCAATCTACTTTCGTAGTGATATTGCCTCAGAAACCCAAGGAGGGGTCACTATGAGTCAGTCCAACTCGATGGCACATTACAACAACAACAACAACAATGTACTGGATATCTTTCATATCACTAGTAAAAGTACTGCTTTTTTTTTTTTTAATTTTTATTGTGATTTGGGTGAACATTTACAGAACAAATTCGTTTTCCACACAGCAGTTCATACACATTTTGTTTCATGGCATTGACTGCAATTCCCCACAATGTAACAGCTCTCTTCCCACTTCCTCCCCATAGTTACCTCTTCCCTGTATCCTTCTCTCTGGTACCGCTTTCTTTT